AAAAACAAAATTAGCTGGGTGTCGTTTCAGGATCCTGTAATCCCAGCTACTTGGGAGGCTGACGCAGGAGAATTGCTTGCACCTGGGAGGCAGAGGTTGTGGTGAGCCGAGATTGTGCCACTGCACTCCAGCCTGGGCAACAAGAGTGAAACTTTTAAAAAAAAAAATTACTGGGTGATATTAACTGGCTTCACCCCACCTCGGGCATAACTACTGATAAGTTGCAAAACCTGTTTTCTATCCTAAAGGGCAATACAGCCCTAGATTCTGCCAGGTATTTAACCCCTGCAGCACAAAAGGAAATTCAGGAAATAGAACAAGCTATTTCTCAGAGGCAACTAGATCACATAGACCCAAAATATTCAGTTCAATTGTTTGTTTTTCCTACCAAACATTCCCCAACAGGATTACTAGGACAGATGGCCCCAGGGCTACGCTTCCTAGAATGGGTCTTTTGCTCACATACTGGAACTAAAACACTATCTCCCTATATCCAGCTAGTTAGTAAAGTCATCTCTATTGGCCACAGATGATGCAATCTGTTGCTAGGTTATGACCCTGGTGTCATAAGAATTCCTTTGAGTAAAAAGCAATTCAAAGCAGCATTGCCTCTATCTGTAGATCTTTAGATAGCACTCTCTGATTATGCAGGCCATATAGAGCATGCCCTTCCTGCTGACAAACAACTTCAGTTCGTATCTCCTGTAGTTATGCCTACAAAAGTAGTTCACTCCCCCATACCTAACACTTTAATGCCTTTTAGTGACTCTGCTTACTCTATTTATTTATTGCAGTACCTTAAAACAGCCCTCATTAAGTCCTCTCTCAAGCCCACCCCACCCTTAAAAATATGCTCAGAAAGCAAAAGAAGGGGAATATGAGTAAAGACCCTGCAATCCTACTAGCACAAGCCTTATTTATCTTAAATTTCTTAAATTTAAATAACAAATTTCAATCAGCTATAGAAAAGCACTTTGCTAACCAGACATAAAACCTGCAGTTTTATGCGAAGATGTGAATAGTAATGTATGGCGTGGTCCAAATGATGTGCTAACATGGGGAAGAGGATATGATTGTGCTCACACCTCCTCAGACCCTTTTTAGATTCCAGCATGACACATCAAACCATACCATGGCATGGCTAGGACCCAACCTGGTACCAGAAATGAAGGAAATGACCCTGCAGGACCCACAGCCCCAGACAATGTGGCTCCGTTGGATGACACAAGCCCCAAACATCACCTGGGGGTTGCTGAAGAAGACAACTCAGGAGACTGAGCAAATCCTGCTCCAAACACAAACACCATTCACTCCAGATGATTTGTCCCTTTTTTATTCTCTCACTTTGCCTGCTACCTGTACCTGCTACGCTCTAGAAAACCCATCTTCTAAATCTGCCTTTTTTCTGACTGTTATTTAGGCAGACACTCCCTTCCCAGCCTCTAATAAATTCCACTGCTTGGCTAGAAAGGATTAACATCCCCCAGTGGGGTCATTTCATCAATGGCAAGTAACACTACAGGTCACTCCTTGATTGGAAAAAAATGTTACCAATCATACTCATGTTTGTGTCATGTTATTTACTAATTCTAGGATGCCAAGCCGGAACACTACTTATAACCACTGTGCCTGACAAACCTGTTGCTGCACACATCTGTGCTCTTCAATCAACAATACCTGATGCAAAAAACAGAAAAGGGGGAGATGTAGGAGATTGGTTAGGGTGGTGGGAAAAATTATAAGAAAGACACAAACATTCTTGGAAGGCCAGGAGGTTTGCAAAAGCTTCAGGAAAGAATAAGCTGAAGGCAGCTGTTCTTATCCTGGGGCAAAAGACAGTTAACAAGGGAATGTAGGGGAGTTTTTCTAAATAGCTTGTTTACTTATGTTGTCCTAAAACCAACCTTTGATCATTCACAGGCAGGACTGCTTTCTATTTAGGGGGTTGACAATGTCTATTACCCACAAACTGTGCTTGCTCTAGGTCTGTGTCATTAAATTGTACTAAATAAATGCGAGCATCGCTGGCTTATTGAGGCTGCCGCTCACTCTGGCAGGGGTTCCCTAGCTGCACTGACAGGCGAGCTTGTGTCTGTGTACTCTGTTTGTCTGTCACTCGGCCAGAGTCTGTGGGACAGACGCGGCAAGGACCCTTTCATGGAACAGTTAGTTGCCTGGCCAGCCAGGAGGAGCCAGGAAACCAATGTATGGGTGAGAAGAAGGAAGTATCCTCAGGGGAGATGCCAGGGGCTCTTCTCATCTATGTAGGGTGACATTGCCTGTTTGCTAGATGCCTGTGGACTGCCAGGTGAGTACTGGGGTGCCCTGAAAATGTCAGAGGGTCTCAAAGGCTTGTTAGTACAAAGCGCTATGACCCACTGTGGTAAGAAGGGTCACTGAGTGGTGACAACCTGAGCTTGCCACTGTTACGGGCTGTGTGAGTGGCCACAGACCACAGGTAGTGGTTGAGGTGATGTTATAAAAGCTAGAGGAAGAGTGACAGGAAAGCATATGAGAACCTCCACATTTGTGTTGGCATCCAGCTTGGTGGATGAGCTTGATGAGATGGAAACTCTAAGAATAAGAGCTTAAGGACTAAGGGAAACCCTTATAAAGGTTTATAAGTGGCAGCAGCCTGCCACTTTATCTGGCTGATAGGGAGGAAGTTGTGCTGGCTGAAAGTGTGAGCTGTCCTTGCCAAACTGGACTGGGATGCTAATCTTTGGCAACCAACTAGGAGTCAGATAAAGATGTAGAGGTTATTTTGGTGGACAAGGATAACTCTTCTTCCCTTTTGAGAGCAAGACCACTCATGCAGAAGAATGCAAAAGCCCAACACATGCAGCCAGGCAATCGCTGACAGCCTTCCCAGGCAACCTTAACTGTCCATGAGTACACCTTGGCAAAATTAGTGGGCATAGCAAACACTTTTAAATAGCTGCAAAGAGAAAGCCTAGCCTCATGGATGATGCAGCTGTGGGACACTTGTGGGGATAGTATTTCCTTAGCGGGGAGTGAAGCTGGAAAAATGAGTAACATTACCCACCCATCCTGCTTGGAGACAGTATTTGCACAACATAGAACAGTTGAGGACAGTCGTAGTCTTAAGGACTGGATTATCCTGGCTATGAAAGAGGCCTGGCCAAATGAAGGAGATTTCGCAGCTCAGACCCTGGCATGGTGCTCTCTGGAGGAAACAGAGAGCAATTTAAGGGAGTTGATGAGCCTGCATCAGGTAATTTATACCCAACAGTTTGCAAAACTTGATAAAACTATGTTTACCTCGGGCATGAAAATTAAGCTGCTGCCAGCTGGCCTGCGGGAGTGGAATGGTCCTCTCATGTCCCTGCGGATCCCCCTTTGTGGTAAGAGATGTATACGATGTGGGAGAAGCTACAGGTGATTTTGGAAAAACTGGAAAGGTTAGAGATAAAGTCTGACTGGTTACTAAAGGAAAAGGGGAAAAGGGAGAAGCCAATTCTGCCGAACGAGAAAAGGGAGGCCTAAAAGGACTTTAAGTTAGAATGACCGGGAAACGAACTGTGGTATGATCTGATCTCAGCTAGAGTAGGCAAAGAAAAAATAGATCAGCAACCCAGGGCCAGATGAGTGGGCCTTTGAAAGACCTGAATTCTGATCAACAGCTTAGACCCTTCCTACTGTCCTACCAGAAGAAGGAGAAGAAAAAGGCCTCGGTAAAAGTACTCCAGTCTCTGTGTTCCAGGGTGGACTTTTCCCCAGCCTAGTGACTAGGGGTGGGGCCGAGGTTGCCTCCATGCAATTGCAATGGGGGTGGCCAAGCCCCCGTGTGGATGGAGCTCACAATCTGTAGGAGTCCAGAAACAAGCAGAGGACCTTAGCTTTAGTGGACACGGTTGCAGAAAATGCACCTTAATTTTGAAGACTTAGAATGAAAACAAATGAAATATCTCGTTAATAATGTTTTATATTCATTGCAAGTGAAATAATAGTTTGAATATACTAGATTAAATAAAATATTTTAAAAAATTTTAAAACGAAGCTGTATTCTCCGAGAATGGCAGTTTTCCCTGGGAGATGCAGCTGTGTCGATGCGTGGGTGTACGTGATTACAAGTGTGTGTTTGTTCAATGGTGACCTGCTGGACAACAGGGGGAAAAAGAGGTAGGTGGATGCCTCTGAATTATATATTTTATTTTATTTATTTAGTTTTTGAGATGGAGTCTTGCTCTGTCACCCAGGCTGGAGTGCAGTGGCATGATCTCGGCTCATTGCAACCTCCACCTCTTGGGTTCAAGCGATTCTCCTGCCTCAGCCTCCTGAGTAGCTGGGATTACAGGCGCCCGCCACGACACCTGGCTAATTTTTGTGTTTTTTAGTAGAGATGGGGTTTCACCATGTTGGCCAGGCTGGTCTCGAACTCCTGATCTCAGGTGTTCCACCCGCCTCAGCCTCCCAAAGTGCTGGGATTATAGGCATGAACCACTGTGCCTGGGCCTGAATTATACACTTTAAACAGGTGAAATTTTTTATGGTTTGTGAATTATATCTCAATAAAGCTTTGCTAAAAAAAAAACATGACTAACTACAGATCACATCTCACTGACAGCATATTTTTACTGCCTTGAATCCAAAAAGAAATGCCCAGGTACGGGCTAGTGGGGGCAGAGACACACATACCTGTAATCATGTACACAGCTGCGAGTGGTGGGGATGAGTCAGTGGGGAAATTTCGACAGAATTCAGAGTGATGAGGCAGTTCCCTTACTGCCCTGCCGACTTCTCTCCCCTGGGCGTTGCTCCCTCAGTCTGGATTCACAAAGCCAATGCCTTTGGGAGCCAGGAACTAAATTCTTAGTCAAAGACACCTCCCTCCTGTCCAGTTATGGGTCTCAGGGAGGAAATGGCAGGTAGGGGGTTTCATTCTTTCAGTTTCAGAAAATATTTTCGGACATAACACATTTCACCTATTAAACAAATTCTGGGGTAAGGGGAAACAGAGAGAGACAATAAGGACATTCCACGTCGAAAAGGATCTCAGCGTTCTCAGTTTAGGGAATTTGGCCTTGCTGGCTGTGTGGTAGAAAAGCTGATGATGGGTGAGGATTTTGGAGGGTGGGAATGGAGGCAGTTTTGTCATCCCCACATCCGGTTTGTGACTGGACACCATGCGGGCTGAGATCAAGTTCAGAGGCAGTCAGCTGGAATCCCTTAGCTCTGTTTGCCCTTTTTTGTTTTGTTATTTTGTTGTTGTTATTATTGGAAAAGATAAGGGCAGAGCTATCTGAATGCTTCCTTGAATGCTGACAACGAACTCCATGATTTTTATAAACCCCATGTGAAAAACGTGCTAAGAATCTCTTTTCTTCTTAGCATGTTTTTAAAGCTTAGAGTTTATAAAAATATGGTTTGAAGAAAGTTTGAAAAGATCAGTGGAAAAAAATTCAGCACCAAATTTTCTCTGAAAATCAACTTGTCAAAAAAGACATGACTAACATCCATCCTGTAACCAGCGCATGAATGATCTTCCCTCCTTACGAATGTACTTCAGCAAAACTTTAATCTTGACCCCCCACTTTCCACTTTTAATAGTGGATGGATGAAAAGGCAAGAAGAAAAACAAAGCCAAAACACACCCAGATGTACACTTCCGCCAGCATGGCCCCCGAGGCATTTTGAATTCAGCCACTTATGATCTGTGGATTATTAACTCTACCTCATTTACTTCATCAGCGTAAACAATAGTAAACTGACTGTAGCGAAATACAGAACCATGGAAACATGATTCTATTTTAATACAGGCCCATCAGTTAACCCACAGGCTATGCTACATATGAATAAGAGAAAATGTTTCTTCTTAACTATGTAATGTAATTCCAGTGGAATTCGGTAGGTGGCATAGAAGAGCTTTTTTGTTTTGCTTTGTCTTCAACACTAAATGTGGTTAACAGTGAAATAAATCTCCAAGGAAGTGCTTGAGTCTCTCACAGACTGCCAAACGGAACAGACAAGCAGGTTGTCTTGGTAAGCGATGTCTTATTTTATTTTGTGAAACAAAATAATTGTATAGCTAGTTATTAAGTACAGAAATTTCAAAAGTCTGTGTAAGTCCTGGGTGTTTTTCTAAGTGGGTTATATTTCTGATATGTATGTAGTTACTGTGTAGTTTGTACTGGCATTTGTGTATCAGTTCTGAGTCCTAAATCAGGGAAAGTCCCCCTGCTGCTCCGGGAATAGCACCTTGTATGTGATTTGCTTACCAGAAATATTTTTGAGTTGGGAAATAAATATCTGGGCCACAAACGTCTTCTGGTTTTCTTCCAGAGCAGCTGCTAGTTGTTGATTTCAGTTGGCATTTCTCTTCACCCCATCCCGCCTTTTTTCTGTTTGCAATGTTAAGGAAAATGAGATATAATTCAGTTTCTCCCAGAGGCAATGCTGCTGTTCAACTCTCCTACTTTTATGGGCAGGTTTGTTTCAGTTTTTTCCTCTGGGCCTTTCCCACTAGCTAGTCCTTCTGTTTCTCAGGCCACTAACACTGTTGTGGGGAGCTAGTCAGGTAGAATTGCAGGTTTTGAAAATGTTTCCCAGGCTACACCTGATTTGGTCAAAAGACTTTAAAGTGAATGTGTTTTATATGTGTTTTTATAACAAACAAAAAGCAAAAGGTCACAAGACCACATATGAAACAAAGCAGAACAGTTCTTGAACCGGCTTAGATTCTTTTAACCTGTGGTTAATTGCTAGCTGGTCTTGTGCAGAGAAGGCCTTTAGTAAATATTTACGGGGACTAAACTTAATCAGCCAGATAAATTGTATGGATATTATCCATTAAGACCAGCCTAAGCCTTGATTTGACATCCCCAAAGTCTCCAAACTAAGACAAATTAAATGTATTGATTCATTGTATCACGTAATGTGAGGCTAAACCTATCATAATAATGAAAATTGACAGAAACATACCTAGAGGCATTTTACACTTTCAAATTAAAGCATCCTTTTCTGCTCAGCTTATTTTTTTTTTTGGTAGTAAAATAGTATTTTGAGCAAAAAATACTTTGGTCTAGGAAGCTGAGACATTAATTTTCATTGATTTAGCAAGTTTGGTATATAAAACTCAAAGATCCTAGAAAATCAGTTATTCCTGTGTATAACATTTTGATTTCTTAATTATAGAAATAATAATGGTTTCATAAACTGAGTACCTGAAATTAATGACTTAAAATGAAAGGGCAAAATGGAGATTGGGCAAATAGAAGATATTTGAGTCAATTAACGTAGCTCAGCATAAAACCGAAGCCCTGCTTTCACTAGATGCTTGCGTTAGCAGTAGTCAATCCACATGGGTCTGTAGCAACTTGATTCTTGCCCCCTTAGTGGAAAGAACTTGTCTGAGGGGCATAAGGCAGAGTGACAGACCGAGGCAAATTGTAGAGGAAGAGTGACGGTGTCATGCCCAGGACAGGTTCCAGCCCTTACGGAGGTCTGAGGGGAGTGGGTGATGAGCAAATAGCTGAAAGAACACTCAGGGGGCTGTAGGAAGGTGAAAGGTGATTTTATTCAGCAGCCGCTTGCATCAGCACCTTACTTACACTGATTCTCTCAGTCTGTCTGCCTTGTCCCAGCTGCTTAGTCCAGCAGCTTCCACATACAGCTGTGCATCTGGTTCTCCCTTGCCTTCAGGATCAGCAGCTTAACTCTTTCTCTTTCTGGGCACGAGTGAGCCGAGCTGTATCCTGACTCCCCTCTGTCCATTTGCAAAGACAGACAGCTTTGTCTCTCTCTCTTTCTCTGGGCTCCAGCATGCCTGTACAGTGTCAGTAGGGCAATTATACCTTTTATAGACAATAGTGGCTTACAGCCAAGTGATGAGGCTTACCTATGTTATGACTATGGTGGTGAGCTTCTTTATGTTACATCTACATGACCATGATAACATGTAGAGTTATACGCCTGCGCTTTAAACTTGCTGAGTTACTCTGGATGTTTACCTTGGCCTATCCTTGACCAAAGCATAGCCACGTTCCTTACAGAGAGTTTATTAAAAAATTTTAGGGCCGGGTATGCTGGCTTATGCCTGTAATCCCTGCACTTTGGGAGGCCGAGGTGGACAGATCATGAGGCGAGGAGTTCAAGATCAGCCTGACCAGCATGGCAAAGCCCCATCTGTACTAAAAATACAAAAATTAGCTGGGCATGGTGGTAGGTACGTGCCTATAATCCCAGCTCCTCAGGAGGCTGAGGCAAGAAAATCACTCAGATCCAGAAGGTGGAGGTTGCAGTGAGCTGAGATGATGCCATTGCCTTCCAGAAGGTGGAGGTTGCAGTGAGCTGAGATGATGCCATTGCCTTCCAGCCTGGATGACAGAGCAAGAGACAAAACAAAAGTTTTATATCAGGAACGAAAGGAAGTAAAGTATACTTTGAAGAGAGATCCAAGTACCTAGTTTAACCTTTGACTTGGGGCTTATTTGTTGGCAGGCTTGTGGGGTTTTTCGTCTCTTCTCCACTGATTCTTCCCTTGGGGTGGCCTGTCTGCATGTGCAGTGGCCTGCCAGCACTTGAGGGGGCCACATGCACACTGTGTTTACTGAAGCTGTGCACATGCTCACTGGAGACATTTTCCCCTTCCCAGACAAGCATTCCTAGAGGAAGGTCACATGCCAGTTAAAGGCCGCCATTTTGCCTCTTAGTATGCATGCTCGAGCCTGCTTGCCCAACTCCTGAGAGTTTATCAGGAGGCTGCTAACCACCATCTTTAGGTGTGTTTTCTATTGATTAGGAGACTGACTTTCCCTGGTGCTGGCTGCAACCAGTGATTATTCTAGAGAGACTGTTTAACAACTACCTGACCATCAACTGATGGTCACCTGATATTCCTGGTTGGGTGGGGGGCCTTCTCCTGCCCTGCTCATGTCTGCCTAAGTACCTACTCTAACACTTGGGGACAGGCAGTTTTAGAAATTTATATCTTTTTGTGACGATGGCTGTTAAGGGAAAAAGGACAACTTTCTTTTTTTTTTTTTTTTTTTTGAGATGGAGTTTCGTTCTTGTTAGCCAGGCTGGAGTGCAATGGCCTGATCTCGGCTCACCTCCACTTCCTGGGTTCAGGCAATTCTCCTGCCTCAGCCTCCTGATACAACTTTCATCTTGCATGTGGTAGGTTCTGTGAGGCAAGCACTCACACCCTTGCAGGGGGTCCTGTCTGCCCTGTCTCTATGATCACTTTTTTTTTTTGCACTGTCGCCCAGACTGGAGTGCAGTGGTGTAATATTGGCTCACTGCAACCTCTACCTCCCAGGTTCAAGTGATTCTCCTGCCTCAGCCTATTGAGTAGCTGGGATTACTGGAGTGTGTCACCACGCCCAGCTAATTTTTTGTATTTTTTTTAGTAGAGACGGGTTTCACTATGTTGGCCAGGCTGGTCTCAAACTCCTGACCTTGTGATCCACCCATCTCGGCCTCCAAAAGTGCTGGGATTACAGGCATGAGCCACTGTGCCTGACCTCTATGATCACTTTTGCATACTGTGACTGACAATGCTGATCACTCCTTCCATGGACTCTGGTATTGGCTAGGAGTTGGAAAGAGCCCTGATCTGGATTCAGGCATAGGAATAAGCAGGGGACCTTACTTGGACCATAAGGCCAGACCACTTTTGCTTTGCCCTGTAACAGATTGCTCTGTTTTGAGATATTAGGCACTGCACCAGGGTATTATTTTTATTCCTATTATTTTAGTCCATTTGGATTGCCATAACAAAGTACCACGGACTGAGTGGCTTATAAACAACAGACATTTATTTCTCACAGTTCTGGAGGTAAGAAGTCTGAGATCAGGATGGTAATGTGGTTGGGTTCTGGCGAGGGCCCTCTTCTGGTTTGCAGATGCCACCTTCTTGTATTTTCACATGTCAGAAAGACAGCCAGAGAGCTCTCTGGAGTCCTTTTTATAAGGGTACTAATCTGACTCATAAAGGCTCTGTCCTTATGACTTATTTACTTCCCAATTCTCTCCTGCTGATACCATCACATTGGGGGCTAGGATTTCAACATAAGAATTTCATGGGGCACAACCATTCAAGCTATAATATCCATTGAAGTATTGCTCCTTGAGTGAGCAGCTCTTTCAGGAAGCTGGAGATGAAGAATTGGGAAATTTCTACGTCTTTCAGTCAAATACAATCAATGTCATAAAAACACCACCTTGACTTTTGACATGAACTTTCATGTCTGCCTCATCTTCCTTGCTCAGGGTCTTCATGAACACTAGTAGAGTGCCAGGCCTTCTTCCATGTTGGAAGAAATCAGGATAACAAAGGCATATCGGGCTCCTCTGCAAAAGAAATCAGGATAATAAAGGCATATCGGGCACCTCTACAAAACAGTAAGTCCAAGGAAGGCTCCAAAACCCAGATAAGTTTGCATGTCTACATTGGGGGATTTTGAATTATTTAGGTTCTCTGTGCTCATTGAGATATGGGAGGGGATATATGAAGAGGAATTTGGTGCTTTGCTGATGCTGATGGCTTGCTTGTCTGACAGTTCTAGGGGATTTTGAATAAGTTCCTTGTGAGAACTGTGTAGCTGTGTAATCCCAGCTGAAAGGTCTCTGAAGGTGAGGCGTGCACACTCTAGAGTTCATCCTAACGCGGCTCGCACTATTCTCACATGCCACTGGAATGCTGGCCACAAAATTGTGTCTGAGCTAGAGCGGTTTGAATACTGGTACAATAGGCATAACCTAAAACGATGCCTACCACTGCGTAGAGAATACATACATATTTGATGAATGAGTAAAAAAAGTACTCTGAACAAGAGAGAGGAGGAAACATCTCCCTTTCTTGAAACCTTCCAGGGTTCGCCACCCCCCCATCATTCTTGGAATAGAATCCCAACTCCTTGCAATGATCGACAAAGCCTGAGTGATCTTGGCTCTAACTCCTGTCATCTTCCCTCATTCCATGCTAACATTGACCTTCCCACTCCTTCTCAGACAAGCCAAGCTCAATTTCGTCTCAGGACCTTCATACTTGCCTTTTGCCAGAAATGTTCTTCCCCCAGATCTTCCTATAGGTTACTCATTCACTTCATTCTGATTTCTGCGCTAGTGTCATCATCTCAAAAAGGCCTTCTCTAATTCATCACTCAAAATAGCCACGCCAGGCCAGGCTTGGTGGCTTATGCCTTCTAATCCCAGCACTTTGGGAGGCCAAGGCAGGTGGATCACATGGTCAGGAATTCAAGTCCAGCCTGGCCAGATAGTGAAACCCTATCTCTACTAAAAATACAAAAATTAGCCGTGCATGGTGGCAGGTGCCTGTAATCCCAGCTACTGGGGAGGCTGAGGCAGAGAATTGCTTGAACGCGGGAGGCAGAGGTTGCAGTGAACCGAGATTGTGCCACTGCACTCCAGCCTGGGTGACAGAATGAGACTCTGTCTCAAAAAAAAAAAGACACCTCCAAGCACTATCTCATACCTACTACAATTTACCCTGCTTTATTTTTCTCCATAATACCTATCACTACAGGAACTTGAGTTTGGTCATTCATCTATTTTCTGTCTCCCCACTAGGTAAAAACCTCCGTGGGAATTTGGACTTTATCTTGTTCATTGGTCTGTCTCCAGTTCCTAAAACATGGCCAGGAGTTGATCAATAAATATTGGTTGAATAAATAAATAGATGAATAAATGGATCTTCTGAGACACCTTTTATCATGATCTAATTACCTTTTGAATAAGACCAAAGTTAGACCCCAACTGTGTATAGGTCATAAAGGGTAATAGAAGAGCAGTCCCAATACCAGCATTTGGGATACCTCTCGAGAAAGTCATATGGAGATGCATGTCAGAGAACGAAAGTACACCATGTGAGTTTTAGCTGGAGTTCTAAATTATTTTGGGAAATCTTGGGGCCAGAGAACTTTCCATGAACCCATCTGTATTAGTTTCCTGAGGCTGCTGTAACAAATTATCATAAACATGGTGGCTTTTCCTTTATCCATCTGGAAAGCAGAAGTCAAAACTCAAGGTGTCAGCAGGGCCGCCCTTGCTCTAGAGGCTCCTCTAGTTTGTGGTAGCTATTGCTGTCCCTTGCCTTGTAGCTGCTGCACTTGTTTCTGCCTCCACTGTCACGTGGCCTTCTCTTCTGTGTCTCGGTTGTCTCTTCTCTTGTCTCTCTGTCAAAAGTCCCTCTGCCTTTCTCTTATAAGGGCACTTGTCATTGGATTTATGGCCTGCCTGGATAATTCGGGATGACCTCCTCATGTCAAGATCCTTAACTTTATTATCTCTGCAAAGACCCCTTTCCCAAGGAAGGTAACATTCCTGGCTTCTGGGGATTAGGACATGGTTAAGATGTAAACATATCTTTTGGTGAGCCACCATTCAACCTATTACCCTAACTGTATTAAAATTCATTTGATTAGAACTGGCCTAATTATTTACCTGTATATGTATACTTCCCTAGTTTTAGACTGTATAACCCGAAAGAATGTAGACTTCATTTTATGAGTCTCTAATAAAGAAATGTTTAATGTCAGCCATGATTAATTTCGTGTATTTTTAAAATGTATGTAATGTATCTCATCATTTTATGCATTTTTTTTCTAGAATCTGTATCTCTATCAAGATGCTCTGAAGAACAGCTTCTACCTTTAGGAATGCCTAGTGTTACAAAATGACTAGCATCTTCCATTTTGCCATTATCTTCATGTTAATACTTCAGATCAGAACACAATTATCCGAAGAAAGTGAATTTTTAGTTGATAGGTCAAATAACGGTCTCATTCACATTCCTAAAGACTTATCCCAGAAAACAACAGTCTTAAATATATCGCAAAATTATATATCTGAGCTTCGGACTTCTGACATCTTATCACTGTCGAAGCTGAGGATTTTGATAATTTCTCATAATAGAATCCAGTATCTTGATATCAGTGTTTTCAAATTCAACCAGGAATTGGAATACTTGGATTTGTCCCACAACAAGTTGGTTGAGATTTCTTGCCACCCTACTGTGAACCTCAAGCACCTGGACCTGTCATTTAATGCATTTGATGCCCTGCCTATATGCAAAGAGTTTGGCAGTATGTCTCGACTAAAATTTCTGGGGTTGAGTGCTACACATTTAGAAAAATCTAGTGTGCTGCCAATTGCTCATTTGAATATCAATAAGGTCTTGCTGGTCTTAGGAGAGCCTTATGGGGAAAAAGAAGACCCCGAGGCCCTTCAAGACTTTAACACTGAGAGCCTGCACATTGTTTTCCCTGCAAATAAAGAATTCCATTTTATTTTGGATGTGTCAGTCAGGACTGTAGCAAATCTAGAACTATCTAATATCAAGTGTATGCTGGAAGATAACGAATGTTCTTACTTCCTAAATATTCTGGCAAAACTTCAAAGCAATCCAAAGTTATCAAGTGTTACTTTAAACAACATTGAAACAACTTGGAATTCTTTCATTAGGATCTTCCAGCTGGTTTGGCATGCAGCCATACAGTATTTCTCAATTTCAAACGTGAAACTACAGGGTCAGTTGGACTTCAGAGATTTTAATTATTCTGGCACTTCCCTGAAGGCCTTGTCAATACACCAAGTTGTCACCGATGTGTTCAGTTTTCCACAAAGTGATATCTACAAGATATTTGCAAATATGAACATCAAAAATTTAACAGTGTCTGGTACACACATGGTCCACATGCTTTGCCCATTCAAAATTAGCCCGTTCCTGTATTTGGATTTTTCCAATAACCTCTTAACAGACACAGTTTTTGAAAATTGTGGTCACCTTACTGAGTTGGAGACACTTATTTTACAAATGAATCAATTAAAAGAACTTTCAAAAATAGCTCATATGACTAAACAGATGAAGTCTCTGCAACAACTGGATATCAGCCAGAATTCTCTAAGCTATGATGAAAATGAAGGAGATTGCTCTTGGACTAAAAGTTTATTAAGTTTAAACATGTCTTCAAATATACTTACTGACTCTGTTTTCAGATGTTTACCTCCCAGGATCAAGGTACTTGATCTTCACAGCAATAAAATAAAGAGCATTCCTAAACAAGTTGTAAAACTGGAAGCTTTGCAGGAACTCAATGTTGCTTTCAATTCTTTAACCGACCTTCCTGGATGTGGCAGCTTTAGTAGCCTTTCTGTATTGATCATTGATCACAATTCAGTTTCCCACCCATCAGCTGATTTCTTCCAGAGCTGCCAGAAGATGAGGTCAATAAATGCAGGGAACAATCCATTTCACTGTACCTGTGATCTAAGAGAATTTGTCAAAAATATAGGCCAAGTATCAAGTGAAGTGATAGAAGGCTGGCCTGATTCTTATAAGTGTGACTACCCAGATGGTTATAGAGGAACCCCACTGGAGGACTTTCACATGTCTGAATTATCTTGCAACATAACTCTGCTGATCATCACCATTGGGGCCACCATGCTGGTGTTGGCTGTGACTATGACCTCCCTCTGCATCTACTTGGATCTGCCCTGGTATCTTAGGATGGTGTGCCAGTGGACCCAGACCCAACGCAGGGCCAGGAACGTACCCTTAGAAGAACTCCAAAGAAATCTCCAGTTTCATGCTTTTATTTCATATAGTGAACACGATTCTTACTGGGTGAAAAATGAATTAGTACCAAACCTAGAGAAAGAAGGTATGCAGATTTGCCTTCATGAGAGAAACTTTGTTCCTGGCAAGAGCATTGTGGAAAACATCATCAACTGCATTGAGAAGAGTTACAAGTCCATCTTTGTCTTGTCTCCCAACTTTGTCCAGAGCGAGTGGTGCCATTATGAACTCTACTTTGCACACCACAATCTCTTCCATGAAGGATCTAATAACTTAATCCTCATCTTGCTGGAACCCATTCCGCAGTACTCCATTCCTGCCAGCTATCACAAGCTCAAATCGCTCATGGCCAGGAGGACTTATTTGGAATGGCCCAAGGAAAAGAGCAAACATGGGCTTTTCTGGGCTAACCTAAGGGCAGCTATTAATATTAAGCTGACAGAGCAAGCAAAAAAATAGATTACACATCAAACGAAAAGTATTCCTCTTGTCGATATTGCTGCTTTTGGAAGTTCCAACAAGGACTTTATTTTGCATCAACACAAATGTAAACACAATTGTGCATGTATGATGTAGGTAAAAAAACATACTTTCAGGCCCCAGTTCACCAGTTATATGTGGTGTTAAAAATTAATAAAATGATATAACTTTGATTTAAACAGTTAATTTCTGACACACGAGGGATACACTTGTTTCTTTGCTATAACTGGGTTCTGAATTTATCATGAAGTCAAGAGAAGTACCTGTTTCTCCTCACTGGTGTGTGTTTTGGTGTGCCGTGGTCAATACTGGAAAACTCCATGACTTTTATGAGTACAGGTATTGATCGACTTACCACCTATGCAACTTACGACCATTCGACTTTACGACCACAATTGCGAGCCACAACTGCTCCGCATCTGGCAGCACAAACGTTGCCCAGCTGGGCGTACGACAGTGTGGACCAGCTTCCGGCAGCACTACCATCTCCGCGTGCACCATTTCAACTGTACATATAGTCTACTCAACTTACGACCAAATTGTGTTACAACCGATCCGCGGTCCTGACCATGGTCGTAAGTCAAGCACTAGCTGTATAGCTGGGATTATATAGCATATTTCCACAGCTGCTGATGCTTTCCTCGTTTCCATGGTGGATTCCACTCAACTTATTGATGGCTGTTCATTGATAATGCTGGAGACTCTATGCCTGAAGGGTCTCCCCCAACCCCCTACCATGATGCCCACACAAAGGGCAATTCAGAAATGCTGGAAGCTGTCCTTGGAAACAGCCTTCAACTAATGTCAGAAAGAGAGTTGGTGGATAAATACCCCAACTTTCTTATTCATTTTTTGAGATAAATCTGGGGTATACTTTACATTCTCCCTGAGTTCCCCAGTAGGATAAAATTCTGGTCGTCCACAGTAGAAATGGCTTGATAAAGTATTCTTGAATGGCTTCCTTCCTATTTTTTTCTGATTTACTTATTCCTCTATGGGTATTCCATGGGATTACCTCTGTGATAAACTACTTGTCACTGAATATTTGTCTCTGGTTCTGCTTCAGAGGAAGCCCAGACCGAGAGAGTGTTCTACCTCAGTCCAAATGGAAAATCTGAGTCGGGTTTCTACGGCTGGAGATCTTGCTGAGATTCTGGTTGTATGAACTAACATGCACAAGAACCTTTGCTCTCCTGATTAGAAGGAGTAATATAGTTGTTACATAATGCTTCTATATATAGCATCTGTCTCTTTGGGGAACTATGTAAGTAGAGCATGAGCAGATGGGACAGTGTAAGGAATGGATATATCCGAAGCTTTTTATACCCATCAAACATCCTGTCAGTCGATCTTTTTACTCTGGCAGTCAGCTCTGAGCAGGTGTAGTCTGACAAGAACTTTGTTATAACTACACCATGTATCTTTCACTTTATGTCCCGTGACTTCACTGATACCACTGCAAGAGTTGCTTATAGAAGCCTGTTCAACCATTCTAATACATGCACAAACCTGAAGTGCCAGGGATACCTCTATGGGATGGGAGGCATTATACAAAGCTTCTTTCTTCTATTCTTGAGTTTTAAAATGAGATAGATATAATCTATACCTTTTCTTATACAATCCCCAGTGGCATTGAGCTTTACTTACCCACAGGGGTAACCAGCTCAGCAACTTGCTTTTGAATTGACTTTCCCTTCCTTGGTCACTCTTTTCATTCCCCTCACTCTTGAGCCCTGAGATCACCCCTCCAAACAAATAAACTTCCCTTAACTCAAGGAGTCTAGAAAAAAATAAAAAGCAACAAACAACAAAAAACCTACAAATGACCCACACAAAGCTTTCATCTCAGTCTTTACTTTTCTGAGTGGGAAGGAACCCAAATAACACATGCATATACTATTAGCTTCTTGCCTTAAAGAACTTACTGTCAATCAGAGAACACTACATGCATCCAAATAACTAAAATAAAAGTCAATGAAACAAAGCTATAAAATGGAAGTTCAGAGGCTGCTTAAATTGAGTGAAAAAAAATCTTCTTGAAGGTTCTATCCAAGATGGCCATTTGGGAACAGCTAGGAGTTGCAGCTCCCAGTGAAAGCACAGAGGGTGAGTGGACGCTGCATTTTTATAGCCCACGGACCAGGAGATTCCCAGGTGGAGGAGACCCACGGGTCGCCAGTGAGGCTGTTTTGGCCGGCGTGGTTCTTTCAGTCAGCGGGGCTGCTTTGGCCTGCACGGCTGCTTTGTCGGTGGCCTGGCTGGCGGTTCTCCATACAAAATACACTGGTCTGGGTGCCCTTTTGGCTGGCGATTGGAGCCCTGGGAAGCCGCACATTCATCTGATTAAAGAGGGGACTGAACAGGGAGCCAGGCCAGGAGATTCCTGAGCAAAAAAAGCGCCACGAATCTCAGCACCGCTGTTTGAGCCGGCGCAGTAGTTCGCTGCATGGGAAACAGATCCCAGCGCCCTTTCAATAGGCGGCTGGAACACCTGGGATAAAAAAAA